CTAGACTCTGCTGATCTGGCTGCAAAATCAGTTTCCATTGATGACCATTCGACGTGTTTCCAGACCAAATGTGTATAATTTCTCTAATTGCACCATTTGCAAACATTTCATGATTTCATAAAAGATGCCTGCTGTCTTTAATGTCACAGCTCAGGAATCCCAGCTAGTCAAGGTTTGAGACGGTTTGATTTCTTGTGATTTCATCAGTCAATCAGTGGCGTGATGAGGCCATTGTCCTGATTAGCCACTTCCTAATTAGTGAACATCACTCTTTACAGACAAAGTGATCATATTTACAACCGTTTTACATTTATTAGACTTAGAAGATTATCTGATGCTACTGTATCATTTTCAAAGTTTATGCAACATATGCAACAAAAGTCTAAATCATTTGACGATGAGGCTTCAGTGTTCAGTCCATCGTTTGATGGATACAGTGATAGATGGACTCTTCTCGAGAATCAGCGGTGAGACTCTGATAAATGTGACTGTGTCTACTGGTGTTCAGTTCTGGATTCACACTGTTTCTCACTGCAGCAGCAGCAGCATTCATGTAGTCGAGGTCTGTGTCGGCTGCTTCGGAAACCTCATCACTCTGAGCTGTGTGTGAGTTTGAGACGACTGCTGCGTTTTCTGTCTCATAAGTATTCTGTAAATTGAAAGAAGGAAGAATTGGGCAAGAATGTGAACCTTGACATTGACTTGAGAAGTTATATAAAGTTCTATAAAGAATAAAGTTCATGATGCAATAAATTATAGAAATCTTAAAGATGACTCACCTCTTCTCCTTTTCTGAATGTCAGATGAAGCCCTTCAGCGGAGAAGGAAACCAGACCTGCGATAGATGAATGTTATTATAGTTTTAAAACGTCTAGTAACTGAATTCAGTTCTTCACATTAGCCAGACAGTAAGTCAATGACTGTCTCAACAGTTCGGCTCAGACCGGCAGAAAATAAATAAATCAATAAAAATCTGAACAGAAAGGAATTTTTTTTTTTTTAATTTTTTTTTACAAACCCCTGTGATTTTTTGTTGTTTTTCCATTATTACAGACTATGACGTTCTATGTGTCTATGTTGTCTGAATCAGGGTTATTAGTTAAATAAATCCATTAAAAAAAAGGTGTGGAGAGGAAACATTAATTGAAATAAATAAATAATTAAAAATATATATTTTATTTCAGTTAGATGCTAACATCTCTCATTTTCATTTAGTTGAACTTGATGTACTAAACTAACTAAAACTTAAATGGAAATTAATAATAATAAAACTATATAGCCACATTACAAAAAAAAACAACACTGATAAAAATTGTAAAAACACACAACAACGTTACTAAAACTTTACAACTGAGATGAAAATGGAAAATATAAAAATGGAAAGTAATTCAAAATATCAATAAAACCTATAATAGTATCTCAGTGATACTAAAATAAGACCGATCTGAATGTAGATTTAATAAAAAAAAAAATGTTCCATTCATTAATTTATATATACTTCATAAATATTACCACATATCTTTTTCTTCCGTATGGCCACAATAAGCAATACAGCACAGATCAGGAGCAAAACCAAACCTCCTGCGGTGATGATGATGACAAATGAACCTGAAAATACACAAGTCAAACTAAAGCACTCAGCTGGATCAGATGTCTCTGTGAGAGTGAGTGTGTGAGATGTGGAGAGGTGTTTACCTGAGTCAGGTGGAGACGTCTGTGCTGGCAGGGTTTGATGAGTCAGAGGAGCTGTTGAAACACGTGTGCTTGTTATTAAACACAGGCTGATGGTTGTAACTTCAGCTGACCTCTTATCTAAAGGGATGACAACAAAGATGGACTAGATTTCAGTTATAATAATACATTACAATAGAATTTGTGTTACCCCAATGATTTCCATGCAGTAGGATGCAATATCGCCAAGAATAGGATGTATAAAAAGTCATGTAAAAACATGAAAAACAACTTCTACTGTAGCTTCTCAGAGTCTAAAATATAGAATAAATAAAATTAATTATGCAACAAAAATAAGTTCTTCTCTTTGTGTTGGGATCAATTTGACCTGCATATTTTTGTTCAAAATTAGCTGCACAGACACAAAATGAATGACTAGTTGTTTTTCAATGAATACTTGCAATGTCTATTTGCACCCTGATGTGCATATAACTACAATTAGTTATAAATCAGTTCTAACATTGTTTGTGTATTAGTATTTACTCAAACCCTTGCGAGGTTAAAATGAGTTTCCCATTGCTTATTTTCAGTGCAACAACAGACTAGTAATTGACATGCAAAAAACTAACAACCAATTACATCCTTTCACAGACTTTTTGACTGTGAAACTCAAATGGATGAAGAAACTGCAAATTATCTTTGGATGATTCAGAAGATTTTTTGCATGGAAACCAATGGAGGTCGATTAGACCTCGACACAATTAATGTAACCACAATTTGCAGTCTTTCTAAAACACATCTATGCGTCGAAACTTTGCATGCACATTCATGACCCTAAATGAGAAAAGTCACATGCATACACGAGCAGTTACTGACTTGTTTCCATGTACATTTCTACTATAGGTCCATTTGTTTAAGTCGCATTACCCTGTTTAACCAGCAACAATATCTCTGAATAGTCATCAGTACTGAAAGTCCTCTCCACAGCACACCAGTATTGTCCTGCATCCTCTGTTCTCAGATCAGTGATGGTGACGGTGAAAACTCTTGTCGTCGTGTCGTCAGTCAGAGAGAATCTCTGGTCTTTAGCCGGAGATCCTGATTTAACCACGATGAATTTATTTCCAAATTTACACTCGCCTTTACACAAATACTTTGGATTTGATTCATATCCAGATTCATATGGGCATCTGATGTCAAATCTGTCTCCTTTGTGTCCTGTGAATGTTTTTTGAGCACCAACAACAACTGAAAACAGAAATATCACTAGACAGGATTAGCACATTTAACGTATTAAGAAATGCCACAGCACACCAGTATTGTCCTGCATCCTCTGTTCTCAGATCAGTGATGGTGACGGTGAAAACTCTTGTCGTCGTGTCGTCAGTCAGAGAGAATCTCTGGTCTTTAGCCGGAGATCCTGATTTAACCATGATGAATTTATTTCCAAATTTACACTCGCCTTTACACAAATACTTTGGATTTGATTCATAACCAGATTCATATGGGCATCTGATGTCAAATCTGTCTCCTCTGTGTCCTATGACTGTTTTTTGAGCACCAACAACAACTGAAAACAGAAATATCACTAGACAGGATTAGCACATTTAACGTATTAAGAAATGCTGAATGCTGATTGTAAAATATTAGACAAGTGGAAAATTAGAGAAGTGCAAAACTGTCACACACAAGACTCCTGAACTCACCGATACGCATGCAGGACCAGAGAAGAACAAAGCTCCACATGGTGAAGATTTACGGCACTTTTGACTAAATAAAACTCGTAAACACTGACAAATGTTTCTTTCTTCCGTACTGAGGTGTATATGGTGCAACGCTTAACTTCTCCTTCCCCTTCCCTGTTTTTCTTAATACTACACACACACCTAGCATATCTTGACATCACTGTACATATCAAACCAATATCAGAACAGATTTAATTCACACAATTTGTTAACGTTAATATGCTTTTAAATGGCCTCAGAGAGTTTTTGGATACTTCACTCACACTTAAAAATGTGTGAATATCATTGCATCACATAAACTATCAAACAAACTCTGCAGAATAGTTTCTCTAAATGCACTCAATTCAGTGTCATTTAATCAGCTGCATGCGTGTTTTGATATTTTGTTATACAATGAAATGACAATAAATCAGTCAAGTTCTAATATGCTAATAGTCATATAATAGTAATAGTACCATAATAGTACCAAATGATAATAGTAACTCAAGGGAACGATCAATCATATATCTATTTACTCTCCAGGTTTACTCTTTAGTCTGTTTACAACTCTCCAAATTGTAAAAGGCATATTTTGATCATTTATGAAAACGAATGTCTATGTATGGCTTACTTCTGCATAGTAACTGGATATGAAAGTATTTTAGTATCCAGAAATCACAAACCTCTCTTTTAAATACCTTGTAACAGAGGGTGGGGAAATGCCGTATGTACCGAATAATCTCATAATCTGAAGGACATTTAGCTGACTTGCACTGTATAAACAAATATGCATGTAGACACATACTATGTTCTAACGCCTCTATCTGTAGCATTGACAACAATAGAAAGGCATTCAAACTCTAAATTAAAAGTGCACTTGTCAAATCGACCTAATCTACAGTCCTTTACAAAGATTGGAATAGATTACTGAGTTTGGATCAGTGATGTCTGACTGGTGTTGAGTTTGAACAGGTGAATAAAGTGTTTCTGCCCGTTCATTTGGGTTCATCTCACTGGTCTTCACACTGTATCTGGGTTTTCTGATAAACTGCATGGAGGAATAGTTCAGACTGTCTGATTGTGCACTGGCATTCGGTGTGGTATAAATCAGAGAATCAGGTCGATGTGCAGACGATGTCAAACCGGAGGAGCGTCTCTTCTCCTTCAGTTTGATAAATATGAAGAGGACGACTGTAAAAATCAGCACCAGAGCACCAAGACCAGCACCAACATAAACCAGAGGATCTGAGGACAGAAACCAGCACACAGATTAAACATTTATTTCCTTCCTATCTGATTCTCACGTAGTAATATATAGTTCAGTCATGAAACTCTAGATGGCGCAGGCTGATGGGTTGTTAACGCAACCGATGATATTCAGAGAGTTAAAGCGATAGTTCACCCAGAAATGAAAATGTGATGTTTATCTGCTTACCCCCAGGGCATCCAAGATGTAGGTGACTTTGTTTCTTCAGTAGAACACAAACTGAGATTTTTAACTCAAACCGTTGCAGTCTGTCAGTCATATAATGGAAGTGAATAGGAATCACGGCTTTGAGAGTCAAAAAACATACGCAAACAAAACCAAACCAAACCCTGAGGCTCGTGACGATACATTGATGTGTAAAGACACGAAACGATCGGTCTGTGCAAGAAACTGAACAGTATTTATATCGTTTTTTACCTCTGATTCACCGCAATGTCCGAACTGTCTCAGAATCAGAGACTTATAAGTGCATTACCACCACCTATCTCTCAAATGGATCATTGGCACTCTATCTACAATCTCAATTAGGAGTGTCAATGGTCCATTTGAAAGATAGGTGGTGGTAATGCACTTATAAGTCTGCGATCTGCTGTAAAGCAAGAAGAAGAAGAAGACGCGTCACACTCCGGCTACTGAGAACGCGCTCTGGTCAATTCAGACATTGCGGTGAATCAGAGGTAAAAAAAAAACATGTAAATACTGTTCAGATAAAGCAGATAAACATCACATTTTCATTTTTGGGTGAACTATCCCTTTAAATGACTTGGCACAAGCTGATTGGTTCATGCAGTATATGCAGCCAATGAGCTTACTGCCTTGCATTTACTGTATATGGCTGGCTAGCATTCACTTGAGATTCCTGCAGCGCTCTTTCAGAGTTTCTCTGAAACCCTCCACCTTCCCCAGCTCCACCTGTATAGATCTGCTACGGGGTTATTTTATATGCTATTTGTGCAGCAGCAGTATGTCTTAAATACTCACTGCACCATATCGCAGTATGCATTGAGAGTAGCAAGTTCCTGTACTTGCTTGCAGCAGCAGCAATAATCTACAACTACAGCAATAACCAACAGCAGCAGTGTAGCAGATCTGTTCCGCCAAGACCAAATACATTAACACTGTCATATCCATCACCATGCTAAAATCTTCTGAGAGTTGTCATGATTGAACTATAAATATTCAAACACACCAAAAAAGTCTCATTTACTAGACAGTGCTGATCTGTGCATGGTTTCTGGTGAAGAGCCTGCAGTCGAGCGCTTTGTCATTGATATTCCCTTCTTTTCTATTTAAAAAAAAAAGAAGTATGAATGAATATATGAATTTAAGGAAGAAATGACTGGAAGATGAATGGAAATGACCTGTTGCATCTCTAGTTGTTTGTTTTGCAGGTGGTCTGGATGAACTTGCCGGAGCAGGCCTTAGTGTAGAGACTGGATAATAGAAATATGAAAATATTAGTGCATGAATACATAAATATGCTGCTATAAGAGGAAATGGGTGTTATTTATCACGTTTCCTGTTTTTTATTATCATAACTGAGAAATTAAGATATTTCCCACACGTTTAAGAAATAGAGATAAAACAATAAAGTCTGAACTGAGTAAGATTATTAAACACTTACAGTCCTACGTGTTTTTTTCTTTTTTTAAATATGCACATTGTTTCAAAGCATGTTTAATTTTATGTTTAATATCTTAATAGTTTGACTGTTATCTGAAGCAAAACAAACTTTTCAGAAATACTTTTAACTACAACTTACCTCTGAAAGGGCCATTTCAGCTCTAAACAAACATTTTTACAAAATAAAGTGCGTTCACAAAAGAATATTAAAAATGTTAATGATAACTTACCCTCAAACACACGTAGAGTCACATATGTGTAAGTGTCTTTTAAAAGCCTGTCGACTGCGCAGCTGTAAGTGCCAGAGTCTGACAGCCGCAGGTCAGCGATGGTCACGGTGAAGTCTGATCCTTTGTCATGTATCGTGTATCTGCCTGTGCGAGTCGGGTTCTCTCCTGCATTCGTTTGAATGAGAATATTCTCGACCGCACAAGAGTCTCTGCAGAAATATTTGATGTTCCCACGGGCCAAAACATGTGAACAATGAAATGTGACATCTCCTCCCACTGAAGCAGTTAGAGGATTCATAGACACCACTGGAAATCAGGAGTCAGACAGGATGTGACATCACATGATCAACTGAATCAATAACACAAGTCAGTCCACATTTGTGACCGAATGTTAACAAAAGGAACCTTATTGTAAAGTGTTACTGAAAAACTGTTGCAGGAAAAATGTGAAGAAACTGTGATTTTGATAGGCTGTTGATGCGAATGCTGTGGTCAGTCAGTAGTTTGATCAATACTCTGATAAACAGACTATTGAACAACATCAGGGTTAATTTCTGTGTAGATCTGATCCAAATCTGGTTGCACAAAATCTATGTAGCAGGCATCGGTGCTGTGAACCGGCTCTGTGTTTGTAGGCCTGTGAAAGTCGTGGATAAGTGAACCTCTATCACTTCGAGCCGTGGGTGAGTTTGTAAGGACGACTGAGTGCATTTCCACATACTCATCCTGTAAAGAGGAAGCTTTCATATCAGTGAGGACATTAGTTATCGTTATCAGCGTCACTATTAAAGGGGTCATATGATCTTTGGAGTGTTACAAGCTCTTGGTGCATAAAGAAGATCTGTAAAGTTGCAAAGACTAAAGTCTCAAATCCAAAGAGATATTCTTTTTAAAAGTTAAGAGTCAGCCACGCCTACCTAAAACGGCTCGTTCTAACACGCCCCCACATATCTATATCACGATGTGGGAAGATTTGCATAACGCCGCCCAAATGTTCACGCAAAGAAAGAAGGCATAACTTTTATTCTCGCTGTAGTTTTGTTGCCGCCGCCGTCATGTCGTGAAGACGCTATGTGTTTCATTGTGAAAGCGAAACTACTTTGTTTGGCCTTCCAAAAATGGACACGACTAGAAATCAGGGGTTAAGTTGTATTTACAACACTGTTCCAGAACACTTCAACCCAAATATTCAGATGTGTGCAGCACATTTTATGGAGGACTGTCTCCTGATCCTGGGAGAGTAGACTACAATGCCGGCTGTTCTGACTCACAGACTGTAAGTACATTTTTTATATTTAAAGAGTTTTTATGTTTAATATTTTTTATATTTAAAGTTTTTTGGGCAGTGTAGAGTAGGGCTTGTTGTTTGTCATTTCTCAGATCACAAATGCAGACATGGTTTTATGTTTACACGGCGTGATGCAATGCAACGAAACGCAACGTGTAAAAAGACAGTATAAGTCATTATAATCAGTAATTATGTCCCCACTGGATGCAACAAATGCCTCGTTTAAAATGGGTTTGAATTTTTTTGTCTCGTCGCTCCGGCCGGACAGGGCATCATCACAGTATGGTGAGGGGCGTAACATTTCCGTCACACGCTTCAGGTATTCGGGCAATCACAACGCACTGGATAGCTGGCCAATCAGAGCACACCTCGCTTTTCAGAACGAGGAGCTTTGTAAAAATCTACGCGTTTCAGAAAGGCGGGGCATAGAGGAGAAACAATAATGTACAGTATGTGGAAAATAATGTGTTTTTGTAACCTTAAACCGCATAAACACATTGCATTACACCAAATACACAAAATAATGTTCTTTTTAGCAACATCATATGACCCCTTTAATGTGGCAATGCTTGTGAACGTGATAGCATCGATTACAGACTTACAACAACTCGAGCTGATGTCTTCCTGGTGTGAAAAGACACAGACACTGGAGGAGGGAAATTAATGTATTAATTGTTGCATGATAAATGTTAAAGCTATGATTGCATAGAAAAGAGGAAGTCTCATGCAGTCGTCTCACCTGACAGCTTGGAGGCGGTGGCCCATTTTAAAACTTTAAACAGAACGAATGGACACACAACCAGAAGTGTGCAAACACACACCAAGCTCAAGACTGTCACGAACCTGACGTAAGATTCTGTGGAAAAGGGAAACAATCTGACACACCTGATAAAGACACAATTAGTTTATTTGAGCGACAGACACAAAGAGTGGAAGAGAAACTGACAGACAAATAGCAAGATCTGAACAGAGACAGTTCTGTTGTGTAAGACGTTAATAGGAACGATAAGACAATATAAAACGACAGCAATAATTTCAAACATTCGATAGAAGAAATTCAAGAATGACAGAACAAACAAAAGAATGAATGAACAAGAGACAGTCTCTCGTTTGATCACTCCATTTTCATTCATTCTATTGAATCTGTGTACAATAAACAGTATGAACTAAATAGTGAATGAATGATCTAAAGAATGAACAAACAGATGAATAGTGGAACGAGAGAATGCATGACGGAATGAACAAGTGACAGAATGAACTAACCATACACAGTACGAATTAACTAATTATAGAATAAATGAATACACAGAATGAGTAATGCATCTGAATGAACAAATGGTGGAATGAGAGAACAAATCAAACACAGAACTAATGATCGAATGAATTGATGAATAGAAAGAAAAGAACCGATGAAAGATGGTATGAACAAAAAAACATAAAACAAAATGAATATAGAAAAAACAATAAACAGTATGAACTACAGAAGGAATAAACAAATAACAGAAGTATAGAATGAACAAATGATAGACAGAATGAACAAGAGAACCAATGAGCGAAACATAGATAGTACAAATAATAGACAAATGAATGAACTACTGAATGAAAGAATGGGTGAACGATAGACAGAATGGAGGACAAAATGCATGCATGAATGAAGTCAGATAAAGCAAATGACAGAATGAATGATTAAACAATGGAATAAAGAAATGGTGGATTGAACAAACAATAGGCAGAATTAATTATTGAATTAATCAATGACAGACTGTACAGAGGACAGACAGTTCACCCTGATCTCTAGTTTTGGCCCAGTTCTGTGCTGTGATATTCACAGGACTGCTCGTGCTGTAGACGATCACTAAAACACAACATTAGAACAGAGATCATTAAGATAGGCAGCAGCTATATTTGCACTAAGTGAAAATAGCATGGTGCAAATAATGCCAGATGTCTGCGCCTCACTATTGCAGTACATTATAAAACATTATGCAGTAATAACATATTGAGTATATTGTATATAGCTTTTGTATGATGATCCTGTATTTCTGTGGTACCTTTCGGTGTCGGTGCTGGTGTTGTGGGTCTCTGTGCTTCACCTGTGCAGAGAAGAAGGAACGTGAAACTATCGTGATTCGTTCCTTTAGCCACATTCGCTTCTGCATTCAGTCATGTGTGTGAGTGTGGAAAAATAAAACATGCTAAAGGGTTCTCACCCATAATGACAGTCAGTTGTATTTCATCCCCCGTCAGATCAGGCTGCAGTTTAATATCCACGCCGAACGAGTAGTAGCCAGAATCCTCCGCGACCAGTTTCAAGATGGCGGCGGTAAGGATGTGTGTGGACGTGTTGTCGAATAGAGCGAATCGCCCCTGTTTCACCCACCTGTTGTGGTGAGACGTCTCAACCAGTTTCTCAAAGAAGAAACCATCAGTTTTGCCAAAGTACTTGGTGTTTGTCTCGTAGTCTGGTGGGTAAATGGTGTGAAACGTTACGTGGTTCCCCTCATATCCGATCTTAGCACAGCTAGTGTCCAGTAGACAGGCTGGAAAGGAAATCAAATTACATTTAAAAGTATATTTTAAAGATATTCAGTCGTGATTTATGTAATACACAGACATAAAGCACATAAGCAGCATTCGATGTTACTTATTTCCAACAACTAACTAGCAGTTAGCAACACAATTAGCCTAACTAGATGTGACTAATGCGCTTTTAAAGGCAAGAATCCACTTTTCCCAATGAGTCACGGTACTAAATATAATGTTTTTGTTCTTCAACTTTATACAGTTTTACAGCAAAGCGAACTGTTGTGAAAATAACTGGATTTTAAGCTTGATGTTGTTATTTTGTTTTCCAGGCATATATGAAGCAGTTTAGTTTTTTTACTGAATCTGTTTGTTCCGATTATACAGTCCAACCCAAGTGATATACAAATTTATATTAAATATGTATTTATATGAATTAATATTAATATAATTTCATGTATGTTTAAAGATGTAATAATAATAATTAATGTTCAAATAATGTGATCGAGCTATTTTTAATGGTGATATTCTGAGTAAATTGATCTGTTCAAATGGTGTTAAATGCTGCCACCCTAAACGAGATCCTCATTTTTTGTCCAATATGTTATAGCAATAAAAGTCATTAAGTTTATTAGTAGATTAGGTCATTTGAACGAGGACTAGCCTATACCAAGCTTGGCAAGCCAGAGTTGTAATGTAGTTTTCCAACACTGATGCTGATCGTTTAGAAATTAGAGTCTGAAATCAAGATGCTGTCGTTCTGATGTAAAGTGATCGCTACTACTCACCTGTATAGATGCAGAAACAAACGACCCGTACTTTCCACATGCCGAATGGTTTTTCATTGATTCTGGTGTGTGCAGATAATAAAACCGTGGCTGCCTGGTCTCTCTCTCACTTCTTTGTTTCTATTTTGTACGGATCCTCAACCCAAACTTAAGACTGCGGTTGTACAGAGTAGACAGTTCAAATGCAACTTTTTCAGTATGACCAACTTCCCTGTCAATGTGAACTTGTGGCATATAGAAATGACTCAAAACGCAGCAGTAGTTGTTTAAACAAGACCAAGTACTATGTATCTATGTGTCTTCATTCTATTTATTTGTATTTATTTATTTTCATTTAACTAACACACCTCTAAGAATGAAAATACCTGCACGTTCAATAATAAGTAAATACATAACCAAACAAACAATCATGGGTGTAGCCTACACATTATAATTATTTAAATAAGCATATATATTTTTAAAAAGAATATCATTAATTGCATGAATATCAAGGACTTTTCTCAGGGTTAATCCATTTGACCTAATCAATATGTGCCTATTCATAAAATATTTTACATATTTCCATCAAAGTATAGCATGCAAATAGGTTTATGTAAATGTATAAAACTACTTGTACCTTCACTGCTTACGTAAGGGAAAGTCCACCCACAAATGGAAATTGTGTCATCATTTAGTCACCCTCAAGTTGCAAACGTATGAGTTTATTTCTTTTGCTGAGCACAAAAGACGATATGTTGCAGAATGTTGGTAACCAAACAGTTAAATGTGTGATTTTGTTATTATATAGATGTCATATTTTCTTCATTCTATTTATTTGTATGTATTTATTTTCATTTCACTTTTTGAATCACAATGAACTTAATGGACTTAATGGCTGCACTTTGTTCTGCACTATGTTCCACCGCTTTAAGACAAATGGACGTGTTGTGTTTTCATATTCAAGAGATTATAAGCTAGATGCAGCCTTTTTTGGGGTTTGCATCAAATGTTCTTGGACTTTAATGCATAATAAATGTGTTTATGAATAACTATTGATCTGTTGAAAGCAGTTATTTTGAGTTGGATGCCAAAAGCTGTCCTCCTATTCAAATTTTACATTGAAGGGGTGAATACAACTATAGTTGCCGCACATTCAAATACGATTTTCAAGAAAAAAAAAAAAAACTTGGGGAAAATAAATGCAAATAATACGTTCACATAGGACAGTATTAACATGACTATATGCATGAAACCATTCAGAAAAATGTAGGCACAAATGGGTTAATAAAACTACGCGAGACAAATGAGAACGATTTTTGCATTAATTTAATAAGTAAAATACCACCTTAAGCTGATTTTGTGAAAGCAACACAAACGAGTTTGGATGTTGACTCATGTTTGGATGATCAGAGAATCTGGGATTCAGTCAGTCGTGATCAATAGTGTGATAGATCGATTCATGAAGAAGAATCAGCTGTGAGACTCTGTCTATTGCTGTGTAGATCTCATCTTCCGTTCGTGTTGAGTCTCTGTCAACCGCTTCTGTGTTTGTGGGTCTGTAAAATTCCTCTTTTTCACTTTGAAATTAGGGTACATCTGGAAGATCACGGTGTATTCTCTGGTGGCCATCCTATATGAAAGAAATACATATAGTCAGATTCATCAGGAAATGATATGCTGATATGCTGTATAAGTATATGAACTCACCGCCACTGGGTTTGATATAGTCCTGATGCCGTGGAGAACAGAACCTGATGAGAAAAGCATTTAAGATTTTAAAGATTTAAGTGACTGATTTTTCTTAAACGGGTCATTATAATGTGTTATATGGGTGCATTCAAGTCCTCCTGGGCAGTTCGTATTGACGAGTAACTCTACATCTACAAAATTATGAATAAAGAATGTGCATTGTGTTTTTGCTCAATTTATGAAGGTGATGTAAACTGAATCATTATATATTCTATGGTAATTATACATTAGTATAATATTTTGTATATGTAAATTATATAGGCCTACTTTTCTTGTACATGACAAAAAAACAACAACAATATTTTATTAATTTCAACAAATTTACCATCAAAACAGATGCTACATATAGTCTTTGGCTGCATCCATTGCATCCGACATGTTTTCTCACTGACTCGGAAACTCAGGGCTTAAAGAAAATTTTGAGTTTCGCTCTCGTAATAATGACTCTTCTCTCTCTAGAATTACAATCTATCCAACATGACTTGAATGCACCATATTATCCATTATCTATTATACCATGAATAGATGTGTAGTTTTGTTTGTTCTTGTTAAATGTTTTAACTATCACTTTAAAATGAAAACGCAATTAAGTGTTTTTATTAAGTAAAATAAGTGTTAAATTAATTTTAAAAAATGTTGTAATTTATCATTTGCTGCCATAAAATTATATGATGTATATTTTGGCATTATATCAACCTTTTTTACGCAAAAGATTTTCCCATTAAAGTATCATGGGCTTCAACAGAATGTGAGTGTTAAAGTCCAAGTGACTGTCTTTATAGGGCGAGACATATAAGCATGT